GTGCTTGAAGGAGGGATCAGTGTTCATGGCAGGAGAGCCCTGTGCTTAAGGTCAGATTATCTCTGTAGAGAGAAGAGCTCTTAACAGAATTCTTTCATGCTCCTAATAGCAGTGTTTTCCTTTGTACACTTACTATAGCTTAAAAGTGCTAAAAATCCTTTTTCTAGGAGTACAGAAATAACAAGCTGCCTAAACTTGTTTCTGTGCTTGTTTCTGCAGAGGGCCAGTGGGGTTGCTAAAACCATTTTATTGTAATAGTTAAGTTTTTAGTTAGAACTGTACTCTAGTAGGGTTTAATTTCTGCATAATGTCAGCTTGCATTAAAAATGCAGCAGTATTTTTAACTGATCCTTCGTCTACTTAATCTTATGCTGTTAAACATAGCAAGTGAAAAAGCTGTTAGTTTTAAAGTTTTCTATTAAGGATCCGTAGCTTTCCTTCCCATCAGGAATAAGGAAAGAGAAGCAGGCAGCTGTCTCTCTGTAGAATATATTGCAAGAGGCATTCAATCCTCTCCCCAGTAGATGGCAGAACTTTTATAAATATTTGAGTTTTTTTAAATTTAGAGATCATACAGTAATTTCCTAAAGACTCATTTTACTTGGTCACTGTGCCAGTATGAAGGAATAACATGATCTTTCTACAGTTGTTCCCTTTTCAAAACTTGCTTTCAAAACTGGTAACTGTCCTTAAGGACATAAATTAAGCTTGTTCATTTATTGCATCTGCTGTGTCTGGGAAAGTGAATTACATTTTCCATAGCCAGGAATAGGGTAGTGTATCCTGAAATACTTCATGCTGCTTTTTCCTCAGTGGTTTTGTGATGATTTCCCATAAGAACCCTTTAACTCTCTTCTTGTGCCTGCAGTACGTGCGATTGTCATATGACACTAAGCCTGAGGCTATTCTGCAACTTATGCTTAAAGAATGGCAGATGGAGTTGCCAAAGCTTGTTATATCTGTACATGGGGGCATGCAGAAATTTGAACTTCACCCACGCATCAAACAGTTGCTTGGCAAAGGTCTTATTAAAGCTGCAGTAACAACAGGAGCCTGGATTATAACTGGAGGAGTGAACACAGGTAAAGTACCGCCAATGGATGTGCCCAGTTAACTGGTTTATGTTTTATATGACCCAAAAGATTCAATGGACATATAGCTTCATCTTAAAGCAAAGTAAATCTCAGTGAGTTTGGTCAAGTGAAAGTCAAAGAATACATTTTGAACATGTATTGTTGGAAGTGGGTTGCTGTTGTGTCTTGCAAAGAGAAGCCATACAAGTGTGACGGTTCTTGGTTTTTTTGGGGCTTTTTTAGTTTGGCTTGGTTTTGTTTGTGGGTTTTTTTTGTTTGTTCTTGAAACTGCAGGAGGAAAATCTTAATGTGATTAAAACAAGTACAGTAATGTCTTGGAAACTATTTAGTTCTTGCTAGGCTAATATTTATTTTGTTGAATTACTGATACATAGCACTTTGTTTCCTTCTAGTAGATGTAGTATGGTGCTTTTTTTTGTCATGAGTTCCCAGATCCTTAAAAGCCCAGATAACTAATAAAACAGTTTTATTTCTTAATCAGATGCAGCATTCGATAAATTGAAATTTTTTTGTGTGCAAACAGGTGTTGCAAAACATGTTGGTGATGCTCTAAGAGAACATGCTTCCAGATCATCTCGAAAGATTTGCACTATTGGGATTGCTCCGTGGGGAGTCATTGAAAACAGAAATGACCTTGTTGGAAGAGATGTAAGCATAAATTACCTAATTTAAATAATAATTTACCTGACTTATTTTTTGGCAAATCTGCTCAAGTGTGTTTTTTCATTTGCGTTGCATTATTGGAATACTTGCTTTACTGTTAAGACACATTGATGTCTGTGACTTCTGCAAGATCATTAGTGTAAGCAAGTTGCAAAATGCAAATGAGAACAAGCTCCTTCTCTAGCACAAGTTCTTAATCTTTTTTCCCCTCATTGATATTACTGAATCAAATAACAAAAATGCTAAAGTATTGCAGAGAATTAACTTTACAGAGAAGGGTAAGTTGAAAAATTTTGGTGTGTAGTCTTCAGTGGTACTGTTTGCCAGAGCAGTTGTCAGTTTTTCCCAAAGACACCTTTTCAGAGGATCATTTCTCCTATCCTTCAGAACACAATTCTTTTGTCATACAGTTACCTGCTTCCCTCACAAAGTGAAGAGCTACAGCTGTTGGTGTATGCTGAGCCAAGAGATGCTCATCAGTGCTTCTTGATGAGCAATCAGTTCTTGTGTCTAGACAAAAATAGAAGTTTCACATAAACAAACATACACATCAACAAAAATGTTAAGCCTTACAAGTAAAAGAGTTTTTTTTGTGCTTATACTTAGGTGGTTGCTCCATATCAAACCTTGTTAAACCCATTAAGTAAACTAAACGTCCTAAATAACCTCCATTCCCATTTCATTCTGGTGGATGATGGAACAGTTGGAAAGTATGGAGCTGAAGTTAAATTGAGGAGAGAACTGGAAAAAACTATTAATTTGCAACGAATCCATGCAAGTAAGTAATTTGTGGTGCCTGAGGGCTGAGTGTTACTGTACTTGAATGGAAAAGGTACTTGCACCAAACATCCAAACAAGAAAATAAGGAAATCAGTTTTTTGTTTGTTTCATGTTTGAATGGTTATTTTGCATATTTCAGCTGTTGCTTTGGACCCTAGATACCACTGCCATTTTAGGATTTTCTGGGACCAGAGAGCTTTCTTTTGAATAAAGTTGTCAGTTTTCCTTTGATAAAGCAAATGTTGAGGTCACTTGAGTTATTAGTGTGTTGTCAGACTTAACGATCTGATTGATTCCTGTTTGTGACAGCAATTGCTTCAGTTTCACAATAGGGCAATTGAGTTGGTAAAACATCATCTGTGTTTGTGCAAAGAAACCATGACTTCTTTTGATGTTTTCCCAGTTATGGAGCAACACATGTATGTTTTTCCTCTTCTAGGAATGCTTTTGCAATACTCCCTGTCAGTAGATGGTTTCTGTGTAACTGTGTTCAAAATGTGTATGTGTTGTCATCTTTGGAAAATACTTGGGGGGAAGTCAGAAAAGGAGTTTCCTAAAGAAAATTGTTCACTTTTTTGCACTAGTTCAAGAATATATCAGTGAAGAATCTCTTCTGTTTTGTAAAATGTATTCCTTTGTATTTGTTTGCTTCTTTGCAGTGCTTTCCCCCAGTTCACAGTATAAACAGTGCTTGTAACTGTGCATTAGCAACAGCTAAAGTGCATGGCAGGCAGCATTTTAATTTTTATTCAATAGAAAGAACACACTTGACTGATTTTCACCTGGTTAATAAATCTTGGCATTCTCTGAACACTTACAACATTTTCTGGTTTTTATTATTTATTTGCAACTTCACAGGAATTGGCCAAGGTGTGCCTGTGGTGGCACTTGTGTTTGAAGGTGGCCCCAATGTCATACTGACAGTTTTAGACTTCCTTCAAGAAAGTCCTCCCGTGCCGGTGGTGGTATGTGAAGGAACTGGTAGAGCTGCAGACATACTGGCCTATGTTCACAAGCAAACAGAGGAGGGAGGGTGAGTCACAGCACTGCTCCCAAGCTATCAGTCCTACAGATGGGTTTTGAGACCATTTCTTAATGATTTCATATAAGAGCTTTTTCTGTGGAAAGATACAGGCTGAAAGTGGAGAGGGAAATCGTGCCTGTCATGCAGTTTTCTAGGTTGGCTGCAGGAATAGCTCTGGCTGAAGACCAAAACCTTTTTGTAATTCTAGGTTCCTCCCACACACATTATACCAGTTGCACCAAATTCTCTAGTGTATTCTTCTGTTAGCAATACCTACTAAGAGGATAGGAAGAGTGTACACAGCTGTGTCCTAAATTACAGGAGACATCTTGTAACTTACTAGGTGCAGTAATTTTGTTACACTGTTGTAACTAGAGGAGCCAACTCAGCTTAAAGCCCTGTCTTCCTCAACTTTGAATTTTAACTGAGCCACAGTAGCTTAAGAGATAAATGTGACTACTGAAGTGTGCACAACATAGTTTTGATAAACAAAATCAGAGCTGACCAGACCTTTCAGAGATGTGAGAATACAGAGAGAGTAGTACATTAGCAGCAAACTGCTTGAAAATATCACTTGATTGCATTGAATGCAAAGATTTTCACAGTTAGTTGTTGCATAGCGTTACCTTTTCTGAAAAGGGATCAGATACACTATTTCTTCTGAGTAGTCTTAAAGCTGAACTTTTTACACTCTTCTGTTTAGGAAAGAGTAGTCTGTTCAAGTGTAGTTTCAGATAATAAAATGGATGTTCTTGGGCCCCACAATACCTAACTTATTTCCATTTAGTTGTCAGACTTGCATAAATCCTTAAACATATGGGGTCCTTGTTGCAGGGACTGCCTCAGAACCAGGAGGCAGGGATCTAAGGTAGCAGTAAACCAAACAGCTTTGTCCATAGTGAGATCAGAAGCAGGTATTATTCAGAGGGGTGAGTACTTAGTATTTTCTGTCAAAATCTTTCCGTTGAGATTATCTCAGAACTGGGTATGAGAAGGAAAGGAAGAGGAGCTGAGATGCTTTCAGGAGGCAGTAGTAAAACACTATGGATTAAGCAACCTGTACTTCTTCCTAAAGCTTACCCAGGATTTTGCCACTGCAATAGTAATAGGCTTATAGATGGCAGGACTTAGAATGGACATGTTGAAGCTAATTAAATGTATTGATGTTCTTGCTGTTCATGGATAACAATGTGTTTTCCTGTTTGTTTGGTTCAATCTCAGGAATGTTCCTGAGGGTGCTGAGCCTGAAATAATTTCAACCATCAAAAAGACATTTAACTTTGGTCAAAGTGAAGCAGTTCATTTGTTTCAGACGCTGCTGGAATGCATGAAAAAAAAAGAACTTGTAAGTAGATCTTGCCGTAAAAAAATTGAATGCAAGGTGCATGGATTTTGTGGAGATATTAAATTGTAATTGTGGTTGTATAGGATCAGGAGTAATGCAGAAATCTTTTCTGGATGAAGTGGATCTTCTAGTTGTAAAAGATAATAAAATAGAGCTTTTGGATGACGGGATTCTGGTTTGTTTACAGAATGTATTTTGTTCTTGGGTTGCTGCCTTGACAACCTAGGGACTTTTTTTTCATCATTTAATTAAGACTGTGCTAACAGCTTGGTATCACTGCATGCTTAAAGCAAAAGCACCTTGTAGAGCTTTATATTTAGTCTGAGTTCAGGTACTGGTGTCTCATTTAGACATCATATTGTGCTGTTCGAAGGTTTTGAATTGTCATATTCAGCTAAACCTGTTTGCTGTCAGGATAAACTCAATTTAGAATGAACTGGAGGGGTGGTCAGAAAATTGTGGTATTTAGAGGCAACAGATAATTCTAAACCTAGTGGGAACACAAGTTTGGAGTAATTAAAAAATATGAAAGGTTTCTACTGTGCTTTTTCTCATAAAAGATTGTCTTGTGTGCATCTGGTTGGGAAAACAACACAGTGCACACTAAAGGTAAGTTTAAATTGAGCATAGGCTTAAATTGCATTGAAGATAAGGTGACTAATATATTTCAATTCTTGACATAGAAGGCCTGGACCTAATTACCTTGCCTGAAAATATCTTTAAAATGTTTTCCATGTTTTACCATTTTGGACAGATTACGGTTTTTCATATTGGGTCAGATGAACATCAGGACATTGATGTTGCAATACTTACAGCATTGTTAAAAGGTGAGACTTTTTATTTTTAGAGCATTTGGAATCCCCAGCTTTTGCTGTTGAGTATTGGTATGATGCATTATTTATACAATACTATAATCTATAGGAGTCTTTAGCTTTTATACAAATATATATTTTATACAAATAATTATCTACTGTGTTTTCTCATTGCATAATACTACAACTTGTCATAAATTATGAAATATACTCTGTGGTATATTGCTTGAATTGGCCTTTTTAGGAAGAAAGAATGTTCATTATCTTATATTTTAATGAATATTATTTTTTGTCATTGTTTTTGCTTCTTAAGGCACAAATGCATCTGCATTTGACCAGCTTGTTCTTACACTTGCGTGGGATAGAGTTGACATAGCCAAAAATCATGTTTTTGTTTATGGGCAACAATGGCTGGTACGTATGAAGCAGAATATTTTCTAAGAGAGAAACTCAACTTGCTGTAAAGGATTAATCTTTTGCCTTTTGTTAGAGAGATCCTGTAGAATATGGGCAGATTTATTTTGAGAACAGTAATTTTTACATACTGCACAGTCTTACAGCTATCCTGTTATTGTGCAGTTGAAAGTGGTCCAAAAATTTTAGATACATGCAAAGTGTTCTTAATAACTGGTGGAGAAAAGTCACTGCAAAAGATGAAAGCTGAATTCATTTTAATCAGGTGCTTTTTTCTTACCATTGCATGGTCATATAAAGTTCTTAATAAGCATCTAGTAATATTGATGTCTGTTGGCAGCACTGCAGTGGAGTCCTTTGAGGAGGAGGGCAGAATATCTGTTTCTTGTAGTCTGCAAATTACTTGAAAACTATGTTGTGCATCTTGCCTTTTCCCCAGATTATTGTAAAGATAAAACAGTCTTATGTAGGTGTGCAGTCAAAAGGGCATGATGTAAGGTTTGTTGATGGCAGTGATGGGCCTGAGCATTTGTCTTTAAAGCAAATTGTGCTTTAAATGCTTTATGTGTTTGTACTTCACCAATATCTATCTATAAGAACAGTTTAACTAGGTTAAACCAAACGTCTACTTAGTCCTGTGTACTATGATAGTAGGAGATATCTATGGAGGAGTGTAAGACTTGCTGATTAAGTCTTCAGAGTATTCCCTAGTACTGTAACTGTGTGAACTTCAGGGGGCTTTCTGAACCAAGAGTGACTTCTTTATATTTGTAGATGTATAAGGTTTCCCTGTTGCTGTAGATGGATGAGGTTGATATGTAATCTAAGCACTCTTGCTTTTGTGGTGCCCCAGTTCATTGTTTCTCTCCAAGCTTTACCTTGTTCCTTATTTGTTGTAGGTTGGCTCTCTGGAGCAGGCTATGTTAGATGCCCTTGTGATGGATAGAGTTGCATTTGTGAAACTTCTGATTGAAAATGGAGTAAGCATGCACAAATTTCTTACAATTCCCAGGCTGGAAGAACTTTATAACACAGTAAGTGAACGATTGTTTGATAAGCTACTTTTAGAACAGTTTTTGAGTTGGTACTGGGTCGTGTGCACCAGGGTGGAGGTGATGGGGTGTCAATAGGGATGGCTGCCTGGTGTGAGGGTAGAGTTGGGAAGTGTGTGCTGTCTGGCTGCTGTGTAGTGCCACAGGTGCTTCCTGGCTCTCCAGAAATGGTACCAGAAATAGTTTGTCAGCAGGATGCTCATCTGTATCTGATGCTGGGGAGAGATAGTAAGTGAAAGTTGCAGCCTTGGTGTGGGACAGATGAAGTGTGTAAACCACAGTGGGGAAGAGAAGAAGAGAGAGCCAGGTGGGTGAAACGTGCACAAAATAGGAGGTCTATAGACAGGATTGTTAGGGCCTCATAGGTTGATTTCTGTATATAGCAGTTAATATTATTTTTGCTTTGTGACTTTGCGTAGTTATAAATATTACTTCAAATGTTTTATTTGATGTTGATTTAAGAATTATAAGGTAGTTTTGCACAACACTTGAGTATCTAACAAGACAAAACAAAAAGCTTTCTGCCAAAACGTAGCTAATGTGAGTAGTACACAAATACGACTTGGATTTATGTTAACATTGCCCTTTTTTTTCCAAAAGCAGATAAGGAGGAATTCTTTAGCTTATAAAGCTCCTTAATGGAGTCAGTGTGATCAGATTTTTGGGGTTTGTGTGTTTTGTTGTATTGTTTTGGGTGGTTTTTTTTCTTTTAATGAATATTTTATGGTATTGCTTTTTGCTTTTGCACACTTGATGTACTTTTGAGTTCTGTATGGGAGTTAGGATAACCATAGGCATAAAGGTGTAACAGTTCATGCACTCGCAGGAAATCAGAGAAGAAAGAAAAATCCACCTTGGTAAAAATCCACCTTCAGAATAAAAATTTAAAAATGAAGTGAGCTTTTGCTCTGGATCCTGCAGTACTGTGAGCATGAATATGCATCCGTGTGTGTTCCTGTAAATTAAAGTGTTTATTCGTTAAAACTTGTCTCTGTAATATTATGTTTTTAATAATATAAAAACCCTATAATGTTGCTGTTTGCATTCTGGGTGTTTTTTTCTCCCCTTTTTGGACCTACTGTGAGTGTATTAATTATGTCCCAAATTAAAAGGAAGTAAAAAGAAACAAAAAAGGAAATACTCTGCAACTTCTATGGTAGGTTGAACTATTTGCATTTATTTGATGGCTACTGCGAGTTTAAAAACTAGGGATTTTTTTTTGAGGCAACATGCAAAAATATTTGGCTTCTACTGTAATATTCTTATGTTGTCATTGCACTCTGAATTTCTCACTCCAGATTTTTCCCCTCTTTTTTTTTTTTTAAATAAAGAAAGAGGAAATCTTGTTCGGGATGTCAAACAGGTATGCTGTAAAAAATCTGTCAGACAGTTATTTTTTTTACTGATTTCTTACGTTTGACTGTCAATTTAAGCTTAGCTTTATTAATTAGGTTTTACTGTAAGTAGTAAGCTACATCTGCACTCATTCTGTTGTTTCCAATACTTGCTGTTGTATGCTTAGTGCTGTGCTGCCAGAAAGATGTTAAACCTGATGCGTGTTGTCTTTTTCATCTTAGACTGTTTTTGCATTTTTTGGGGGGGGAATGAAAGCTGATACTTCTAACTAGGAGTAATTTTAAAATGAGGCTGTTAAAACAAGGGAAAAAAACAACAGTCCACAACCCCCCCAACAGAATGAACATCTACCCTATTAGGGGATTTCATACAGAAAAGGAGCTATAACCTTGTCTTTTTTGAAACTGATAAATATTGAGCCATGTACTTGGGATTTTTTAAGCATGAAAGGTTTAATTTGTTTATTTAAAGCTGTGATGTGACATATAGAAACACTCCAAGTTTAAGATTTTTATTTTTAAAACTTAAAAACTCCTTTGTATTTCTAGGGAAATCTCCCTCCAGGATATAAAATCAACTTGATTGATGTGGGGCTGGTTATTGAATACCTGATGGGAGGAACCTACAGATGCACCTATACAAGAAAACGCTTTAGAGCTGTATACAATAGTCTCAGTGGAAGCAACAGGGTATGTGGCAGTTGGATAACAAGGCATGCTGGTTCCTGGGTTCTCAATTAAAAACAAAAAAAAAGTATTTTGGAGAAAAGTTGGGTCCATGTTTTATTCTTTTTGTCAATGGACTGATTTCTTTAAAGGCAATAGTAAGGCCTGTGGGAGCAGTTGGTAGCTGTTTCAGGATTGAGAGCAAATAAAAGGTTGTGTTCTGCTCCATATTCTAGCACATCTAAATTCCTTCTCTGTTATTCCCCCTTTTCCTACTCATAGGAGAAGAATGGGCACTAAATGTGCAGATTCACCACAACTTGGGATGCATAAACCTTAGCTTTTTCTAAAGCAGCAAGTGTAACTTGCCTACTTTGTGACTTCTTAAAACCAAAACAAAGAAAAGACTTTTAAAATATCCAGTGGAAATTCTGTTTGTTGCTGTTATTTAAATTCATCACTGTTTCAGCAGCAAAGTAGCTGTTTAGGTGCTCAACTAAGTATCTAGCTATGAACAGATGATTTTATATTGTCTAGTAGGTAAGAGCAAAGAATTCAAACCAAACCCCTTCCTCTTCTTCTGGTTACAGCGATCTGGGCGAAATCCTTCAAGTACTACTCCTCAGATGTGTAAAAGCCATGAGTCTTTTGGTAACAGAGCAGATAAGAAAGAAAAAATGCGCCATAATCACTTCATCAAAACAGCGCAGCCGTACAAACCAAAGGTACAGATGTGTGAGGGGAACATCGTGGGCTTTATTTTAAGTAGTTGAGAGAGGACAGCCTGGTTGAAATCTAAGTGCCGCTGAAGTGTGAGTAGCAGCAGGTTTACTGACTTCAGTAAAGCTGGAATTTCAGCCTTTCATACTTGTTTATAAACTGTCTTGCATGCGTACAGGGTTGTGTAGAGTGTTTAAGCACAATTCTCTGGATAAGCTTTGTGCTAGGGAGCAAAAAGCTCATCTTTGACACTGTTCTGGCAATGGGGGGGATTCACGTGGCTTTGTAGACAGCAAGGTTTGGCCATGTGTTAACTATAAGCAGTCCACGAGTTTCCTCATTTGTGTGTCGGTATATTACTGCTTTTCTTTTGATATGTAAATCAAAGTAATTCAGCCTCCCAGTTATTAAAATGAATTGGACTCAAATGAAGCTTTTTTAAAAAGTTCCAGCAGCTTTTCAAGTCCTCAGAATTTTTTTCCTTTTATAATTATATATAATTTGATACTGGATCACTCAGCATCTTACTTCATGTTTATGTAAGGACTAAGTTGAGAGATTTAGAATTTAACTTTCTGGTTCTGTTTTAAAGATTGACACTGGTGCAGAAGAGGGAAAAAAGAAAAGAACCAAAGATGAAATAGTAGACATAGATGATCCTGAAACAAGACGTTTTGCTTATCCTCTCAATGAGCTGTTACTTTGGGCGGTGTTAATGAAGAGGCAGAAGATGGCCCTCTTCTTCTGGCAGCACGGGGAGGAGTCCATGGCAAAAGCTTTAGTTGCTTGCAAAGTGTATCGTTCAATGGCATATGAAGCAAAACAAAGTGACCTTGTTGATGATACATCTGAAGAACTGAAACAGTATTCCAAGTGAGTTGCATTTATATGGTTGAAGATACTTCCTTGATGTTTATAATAACAGTAGTGGGCAGTATATTGCCAAAACTCAAACTGTTTGATTGGCATAATTGAAGACAATTCCTTTTTGGAAAAAGGATTAAGTAGCACTCTAGTAGAAGTTTCATATTAGATACTTTTCCCTTTCTCTCTTATTCTCTCTCTCTCCCTCTCTCTCGGGCTGTTCCAAGTGTTGACTTCCGTTAAAATTACACTGAATGTGCCACTTCTTCCATGCAATTTCCTTGCATGTTTTAACAGCTGTTTGTAGCCTGCCTATGTTTTTAATAGAAGTCACAGATTCACAGTTGTAGTTACAAATTACTGTACAGTATATCTGTACAGAAGGGATGGGTAATAAGTAGTCCATTCAAATTGTGCTACTCGGAATTTGATTGTACAAGAAAATTTGACCTAAACTCAAGTGTTGTTTCTATTTTGTTCTAGCGAGTTTGGTCAACTGGCAGTTGAACTGTTAGAACAGTCCTTCCGACAAGATGAAACTATGGCAATGAAACTACTAACCTATGAGCTTAAAAATTGGAGCAATTCAACTTGTCTGAAGCTAGCAGTGTCATCAAGGCTTCGTCCATTTGTAGCACATACTTGTACACAGATGTTGTTATCAGATATGTGGATGGGAAGGCTGAACATGAGGAAGAATTCATGGTACAAAGTAAGCATTGTTGCAGTCTGTTGTTTTAAAATGGATTAACAGAAATTATTTTTAAATTGAAGGAAAGCATGTGTTTAATTGCTATTAGTATAAAGCTTTCACAACTATAGCTTATGTTATTAAATCCTGGAAGTATTTATTGTTAACTCTTCTTTTGATACTCTATTATCTTTTCAAATAAGGTACAGAAATATAGAAGGCAAAAATCAGGCAAGTAGCCTTTAATCAGAGGCTTAAAGAGATCATGTGAATACTAATCCACTACTAAAAACATAGTGGTAAAACACATTAACAGATAGAAAACTCTCTAAGAATATAGTTTCATGCATTTTTGCTTTTTACAGGCAGCAGCACATAAGACTTGATGTAGAAAAGCTTTGTGTATATCCTATTTTGGAGGAAGAAACTGAGCAAAAGCAGGGTCCAGAATGAAACTAGGGTAGGCAAATTGGGGGTAGGTTTTCCAGCTGTGCCCTTTGTGATAAAGCTCAATTGAACCAAAATGGAAATTGCATATTCTTTGAGATGGTGTACCAAAACCTAACCGTTGCTGGGAATGTGATGAAATACAACTTTCCTACAAAATACCTACAAGCATAATATGTGACCTACTAAAATCCTCTTTGATAACTGATTAACCACTCTCTTGCTTGCTTTGTAACAGGCTAATGACAATAAATAGCTTTCACTTATTCTCTTCATCCATACCTTAGCTCATTTTTCTGCCATTAAGTTGAAAAAACCAACCCCCCAAACCAAACAAAGTGCACCACCACCCCCATCCAAAAACTGGAAAAACCACAACCTCCAGTCACATGTGGTTTTTAAATACATCTTGACACAGTACACAGTTCCAGAGTTTCTGGGAGAGGATTAAAGAACAGAGTGTAAAGAAAACACCTCTGGATCTTCAGGCTTGGAGTACATTCTTTCTAGTGGCTTTTGGTGCTGAAATTTGTTGATTCTTCCCCTTTCCTGTATCTTCAAGTCAAGTAACACTCTGTATGTGACCCTAGCCTCTTAAGTGTGTACTTAAATAGTAACTTCTAATTATTTTCTATTCCCCCACCCCCCAATAACAAGCAAGTGAAATTTGGATAATAATTTTTCAGAGGATATTCTGTGTGGTGTTGTATTCTGATACGTGCACGTAGCTGTGAACTATTTGCACTTAGTCTTAATCTTTTCCAGGTGATACTGAGTATTTTACTCCCTCCTGCTATACTGCTGTTGGAATATAAGACCAAGGCTGAAATGTCACATATTCCTCAATCTCAAGATGCACATCAAATGGCAATGGATGACAGTGAAAACAACTTCCAGAATGCAGCAGATGAAATACCTATGGTAATGTGGGGCAGAGGAACATAGTATTTCTAACTTAAAACAAATAATTACATTTTTACTTAAAAGCAAGAGTTAAAATGAGTCTCCAAAAGCATATATATCTATCTGTATGTGAAGTTAACTGGCCTTTCATTTTAGGAGGTGTTTAAAGAAGTAAGGATCTTGGACAGTACTTTTGAAAAACATGATATGGAGACTCCAGCAAAACCTAAAAGACTTCCAATAACACAGAAATTTTATGCGTTTTATCATGCACCGATTGTGAAGTTTTGGTTTAATACGGTGAGTTTTCATCTGTGAAATACGTGTTTTATTTGGAAATCTAATGCAGATTTTGGGTTTCTTTTCTCAACATGTAGTTGTGTGACCTGAATCAAAGTTTAAGAGCTTTTTTTAAAAACAAACAAAAAAAGCCCATACCTTGCTAAGCTACAAAAAATAAGAAGTACTTAATTTTGAAAAACTGTGTATGCAAATGTAGTGCTCCATGGTTTGGTCTTGGTTTCTATTAAAGTTCACTATGTTGGCTTTGAAAATTACTTTCTTTAATCTGAGAGAGTAATTAGGAGGACCATTTTTGTACTGGCCTCAGTAATTAATTTCATCAGCTGCTAGGAGGAATTCTGTAATAATTTCTTAGGCTAAAGTGTACATGCACAGTTTTGTTTAAATTACTGTAATAGAAACTCTAAAATTTGTATTAATGGGAAAATAGCTGTAATAAGAACAAAGCTTTGCTAAGAAGAAATAGCTTATTACAGCTGTTTTTCCTCTTCTAAGAAGAGAATGTTTGTATCACCATATAAGTAATAACTTGTCTGCTCAATGGGGTAAATATAGTACTGTAATCCTACTTGAAGTTTTTATTGTATACCACATCAAAAGATTCCATGCACATCTATAAAGAACACTTCAGTAATTATATGTATAATTTTAATTGCTTTTTTTAGTTGGCATACTTAGGATTCCTCATGCTCTACACATTTGTGGTTCTTGTAAAAATGGAGGAATTGCCATCCGTCCAGGAGTGGATTGTTATTGCTTACATTTTCACATCAGCAGTTGAGAAAATTCGTGAGGTATGCCTGGAACAATCTGGGATTTTAGTTTTCTTTATCAAATAAATAGTGTGTTTTAAAATGTGTTGGTAATCAAGGGAACCTAAGAAACTTCAAGCATCAGAGTACATCATTTAACACTGTGGGGGTTTGACCCTGGTTGGCCAGTAGGTCCCCACCTCAGTCAGACAAGGGAGAGAAAATGCAACTGAAGTCTCATGGGTCATGTTAAGGACAGGGAGAGATCACTCATCCATTGCCATCATGGACAAAACAGACTTGACTTGGGGAAATTATTACCAATCAAATCAGAGTAGGATAATGAGAAATTAGAACTAACCCTTAAAACACCTCCCCTCCACCTTCTTCCCTTAACTTTACTCCAAATTTTCTCTGCCTGCTACACTCCCAGGGGCACAGGGGAACAGCGAATGGAGTTTTTTCATCATTTTATCACATGTTGTTTCTGTAGCTCTTTCCTCCGTGGGAGGAGGACTCCTCACACTCTTCCCCTACTCCCAGACAAAGAAAACACCACCAAAACCCAAAATTCCTTGTCTTGTTCAGACAGAGGGAAACATACATCCTCTGTGTCCTTATCTTGAAGCTGACACATTTAAACCCTGGCTTTGATTTCTTAGTGTAAAATAGTTACCCATTTCAAGAGATATTTTACTTTTGCAAGTATAAAAATGTTACTGATTCATGTATTTCAGTCCATGTGCAATAAATATGAGCAGACCTAACTTTTTTCTTTTTTTATTGCAGATTTTTATGTCAGAGGCTGGGAAGATTAATCAGAAGATTAAAGTGTGGTTCAGCGATTACTTCAATATCAGTGACACAGTTGCCATTGTCACTTTCTTCATTGGGTTTGCGTTAAGATTTGGAGCAAAGGGGAATTTTGGAGAAAACACTTACAGAGAAAATTATGTCTTTGTTGCTGGAAGAATAACATACTGTCTCAATATAATTTTTTGGTATGTGCGATTACTGGATTTTCTAGCTGTAAATCAACAGGCTGGCCCTTACGTTATGATGATTGGGAAAATGGTAAGTAATACTTCTGGTACTCTTTTTTTTTTTTTTTCCCCCCCTCACTGAAATGCATTTTTCTAGCTGCATTAGTTTACAGAATTTCTCAAAGTTTTGTTTAGAAAAAGGTTACTTATCCCGGTTTAACATGCCAGCAATTCAGTCTGCAAAATTAGCTAGCTGGAGTATAATTTAATGTGTTTTGAAACAAGCACTGATTAGAAGGCTTCCTTTATTATGGAGCTTTCCCTGCCACATAGCAATAAAAAGCTGGCAAATCATCCTTCCCCTCTAGCATTGCTTCCCTTTTGGGTCTGAGATGTATTTGTAGTCTTAGTTTTCTTACCTTTGTGCTCTCTAGTGCAAGATTTTAACTTACTTAGTATCCTAAAGCACCTTCTTCTTTGTACTTTGGAAAACTGGGTAGATGGTGGTCAGTTCTTAATCTTCTCTCACACAGTATTAAACAGTATTAGAATTGTTTACATTTAAAAATAAATAGCTTTACTGTCAGTGAGCTATTTTAAATGTTAAAGATTTTAAGGCTTGAGCACCACATATACAAAGGTGGATGGGGTGTTTGTTTTCCTTCCCCCTGTAAATCAGTTCCTACAAAGTTGAACCCTGTCATTCCTTCAAAATGAAGGCATCGAGTTGCTCATTTCTCACTTGGATTTCTTGCAAGAGCCAGAGGTTCTGTGTTTCAGCCCTTGGAAAGCTACCTCTGCATTTAGTCAGCTATTGAGTGCATTTAGGAAGGGATGTTTCTCTTTATCAGCTGCTACTCATCCACGTCGTAGGTATTCGAGTTACAAAGGGAATAAATACTCTGTTGTCTTTGGCGAGGGTACTAAATATACTGTAAGAAAGGACAGGAAAAAACGAACTTGTTTTTTTACAGATTTTGTTACGTAACAATTTTCTGACTGGGAAGTAAGTGTTCTAGATGTTTATCTAATATATAGAATTTGTCCAGCTTACACTGTCACTGTAGAAGTGGTTAAGGTTGTGAAATCATAATTATGATCTTGTCAGGTAACTGACTCTTCTGTGTTGACAGGTGGCCAACATGTTTTACATAGTGGTGATTATGGCACTGGTACTGCTTAGTTTTGGTGTTCCCAGGAAGGCCATATTGTATCCTGACGAGGCACCCTCTTGGACTCTTGCTAGAGACATTGTGTTTCATCCATACTGGATGATTTTTGGTGAAGTGTATGCCTATGAAATTGATGGTAAGACATAGCAATTTTGAAGCAAGGAAGGAGAAGACATAACTTGATAAGACCTTCACAAAGTCTTAGGAAATTTTAATTTTATGAAATGAAATGCCCATTTGATAGTGATTCCATTAGTTGGATTATTTCCTTTTTGTGGGTTGCAGCTGTGTAATTTCTTGATTTTTTTTTTTTAATTTTTTTTTTTCCTTCATCATCCGATCTGAAACTTGAATGGGTTAGAAAGAAAACTCTGCTTAATCACAGTTTCTCACAGCTGTTACACCAACATTTCAGCTGTGGTGTTGTATTATGCTTTTAAAAAATCTAATATGATTACACTGTGGTATTAACCAGAAACTTTGTCTCCTTTATTTTTCTACCATACTTGTAAATGCATGGAGACATTTTGAATTGTAGAACCACTACCTGATACTTGGTTATTGCAATATTTATAAGTGATCTTTATTTTCTCTTACCTATACCTGCTGGAAGTTCTAAAAGTTGTACATATTTTCTCTGTGTAATTTTTTCCCCAACACAGTATGTGCAAATAATTCTGATGAAAAAGTTGCTCATCTCTGTGGCCCAGGAACATGGTTGACCCCGTTTCTTCAAGCTGTCTACCTCTTTGTACAATACATAATTATGGTTAACCTCCTTATCGCATTTTTCAAGTAAGTGTAATTGTTAACTTTTTCTCATCTTTTCATAAGTTTCTATTTCACTGCAATAAGATGACCAGGTAGAAAGAATTGATGCCAGATCAAAAGAATCCCGTTTGCTGGAAGTATTGTAAGGTTCTTAGGCTGGTCTTTGTCTCCTCCCCACTGCAAGCTCCTGACTAAGTAGGGAAGTTTGTTATGTGTCTGGTATGTGTCACATCCGTGAACCCAGGGGAATCAGAAGTTGAAAGAGAATTTGAAAGCATTTTGTAACTTCTCCTTTTCAGAAAAGAAAAAGTGTTTCTGAATCTAGATTGTTCCTAAATTCAATTTATGTCCTCTAGTTGGTTGAGTTGATCTGTAGTAAGTTGTTTTATAAACAGCTCACTAGCACTGAAGATTTGCAGACTATAGAACTAACATGGGCTAATGTAAAAATCTGGGGTTTGGTTACAAATAATATTTTTTTTTTTTTGGCAAACTTGAAATTTGATCTCAGTAATTTATTTCTGAGGAAGGATATTGAGATGAAACTAGATGAGAGAATTCTTTGAGCCTCTCCTTGCTTTGAATCGTGGTGTTTTCTTCAATATTTCTAACCTTTAGTAAAATAATATCACAGTAAATAACAAGTATGTGCTTTTGTCTCTTACTAGCTTAAAAATTCAAGATTATCAGTGTTAAAAAAAAGAAACAAAAAACCCCCCAAATCCCCACACCCTCTTAGCACCCCAAAAAAGTACCTTGATGTGTTAATGCTTTTCTGTTCTCTTTCAGCAACGTGTATTTACAAGTCAAGGCAATTTCAAACATTGTGTGGAAGTATCAACGCTATCATTTCATTATGGCTTACCATGAAAAACCTGTTCTGCCTCCACCACTTATTATTCTGAGCCACATGGCTTCCCTGTTCTGTTGTATATGTAAAAGAAGAAAGACAGACAAGACTTCAGATGGGCCAAGTATGAACAGTTATCCAAAAAATAGCAGTAGCTTTTTGGATAAGACTTAAGCAATCTGTCAGAAAAGTGTTTTCTTCTTGGTTATAATGTATATTCTCAAGAGAGTCAAAATATGTCGTAATTTTCCATGTTTTTAATACTGAATAAGACTCTTAATTTTATTCCAAGTGTCAGTGTTTGTATCAAGGGTATAATGTACAGCCCATAGAAATCTCCAGTTAAACTAACTTACCATAAAAATCAAATAAAACTCCAAGATTAGATTTTCTGTTAAGTATTAATGGGGGAAGAATTTTTTTTTCCCCTCTAAAAAACTTCTTATTGAAAACACTTTGAAAATTTAGCAAAGGGAAAAAAGAAAAAGTTCCATAGATGATAAAATCCAGCTAAGGAATCTGCCTCAAAGGAAAAAGAATTGGAGGGTAAAAGAATAAGGAATGATAATATTTTGTGTGGATTCTCTTGGAATCACTATTTTCACTTTTATTTTAGTGGAAATATTTGGACTTTTTTCTAGCAAGGAGAGAGGAAGGGTCTTAGTGGGCACTATGGTTTTTTTGTTGCTTGTGTTTTGTTCTTTACTTTCAACACCCTTTGCAGAGCTGTAGATATTAGCTTCCAGCACCTTCACTACGTCTGCACCTTCTTGACTGTTCCATCTCTCTTTAGAACTCTTCCTGACAGAAGAAGATCAAAAGAAACTTCATGATTTTGAAGAGCTCTGTGTTGAGATGTATTTTAATGAAAAAGATGACAAATTTCATTCTGGAAGTGAGGAGAGGATTCGAGTCACATTTGAACGGTAGGGATATTTACAAATAAGTTTCTGAAGAGAGACATAGAATTTTTGCAGGTTTTTAAAATATGCTCTAAGGAGGGCAAAGTGTAGCTCAAGAACACAAGTATTTATGCAGGTTTTAGATTGTCTTCCCATCGCTATGCTGAAAGTAATACTGTGATTGATGCTTCCTGATCTGTATCAGCCCTCAGTAAGCTGAGGCAATTGTGTTATTTAGTTTTGCATGATGATTTAATAAGCTGATAACCTTGAAAATATGCTGCATATGCCCTCTATTGATGTATGTACTAATTCTGTGATTCAGAAGAATGTACAAATACTGTATTGCAAAGCAGCCCAACACTGTAGTGTATACACCAACTTGAAATTTCAGGGGTTTTTGCTTCTTAAATGGGCAGAAAGGGTTACAAAGATGTTTCTTCTGTATTTTGAGAAAAATGCCATTCATAGCTACTTCATAATTTGTTTTTTCTTAGGGTGGAACAAATGTGCATTCAGATAAAGGAAGTTGGTGATCGTGTCAACTACATAAAGCGGTCGTTGCAGTCTTTAGATTCACAGATTGGCCACCTACAGGATCTCTCTGCTCTAACTGTGGATACTCTGAAAACACTGACTGCACAGAAAGCTTCAGAAGCTAGCAAGGTTCATAATGAAATCACACGGGAATTGAGCATTTCAAAACACTTGGCACAAAACCTCATTGAGGATGGCTCCCTAAGATCTTCTGTGTGGAAAAAGCACAGCATCGGAAACGTCTTTGGTTCTTTTTCACAAGGAGGCCTTGAAAGTAATAATCCTTTACTTTGTAACATTTCTATACGAGATGAAAAAGAAGCTCAGCGTAAGACCATTGGTCAGGAGTTAGCTCCAGTTCCCCGAAGAGAAGAAACAAACTTTCAAGAGGCAGGTTCCTCAGGCAGTGCCTTATTTTCAAGTGCTGTTCCCCCTCCAGAACTCCGCCAACGAGTACAGGCTGCAGAGATCTCAAAATCCGTTAGTAAAAGTAAAAAATTAGGCAATTCATCCAACAGCATGCCACATGTAACATCCCCAACAGCTAAATTTTTTGTTAGCACTCCATCTCGGCCCAGTTGCAAAAGTCAGCTGGATTCTTCAGCAAAGCATGAAGAGACTGTTTTCTCTAAGGCTACAGAAGGAGATAATAATGTAGAATTTGGTGCATTTGTGGGTAAGTATAAAAAAGTAGATTCTGAATGTCCTGAAGTCATTATTAGCTGCTCTTATCCTCTTGCTTCTGGCTCTGCTTGCCTTGCTTTCACCCAACCTTGTGTTGAAAATGGAGGATACATTAATTGTGGTTTTATTCATGATGAGAGTGACACTAATGATAACTACAGCTGCAGAGTTGACAAATGTGATCACCAGTCCTCTGTCAACTTACGGAAGAACAACCCCCAAACGAAGTTCTGTTTGTCAACTGGCGACTTGACATCAACAGTCAACTGTGGTGGCTCACATGGAAAATTGAATATTAAAGATGAACTTTCCAAAAGGCAGCATGTCCCTGCAATGGAACTACAAACCCAAGATTTATGTTCTAACAGCCTTATGGGACTACTTCATAAACTGTGGACCAAATCTAAGCCACAAGGTTTGACTTATCAAGAATTGTATGGTATTTTGGGTGTATTCCGGTTGCAGGTGACTTTATTCTACCATTTTGCTCTGCTTTTTTTTTGCTTTTAACATCTCTAATTTCCCTATGTTGCTTGTATTTTTTTAACTTCAATTACCATTTCTTTATAATTCTGTCACATAGACAATATTTTTCTGAAAAACATTAGCCAGTTGAGTATAGCAGTTTTGCACAATTAGCAGCTCTGCAACTTGGTACGGGCATCGTAGACAACCTTTTTGTGGCTCATTATAAAGCTCCTACCTTCTCATGGCATATATTAAAAATATTGTCTATTTCTTGACTTAATCACAGAAGACTACCTAGGCTGATGGAATCCTGGACAAAGATTTCTGTGGTATCTGTGTCAAGCTCGAGGGATTCTCCTATACTATATTTCTAAACACTGTTATGACTGGAATCTTCCACTGTTGCCTAGGCTAACATATATTTTGGCAGTCTTTGGAAGCTTCCAAAGTCCTTCTATAATACACAGCAATATGCCTCCCCTCAAGTTTTGTTTAACAGTAAAAAGGTGCACATTTTTTGTTAGAGTTGCTGACGTATTTGAATGGTAAAACAGTGGCAGATTCATTGCAAAACACAGGTGTGGGTTTACTAACTGATTTCTGTGAAGTAGATAATGCTTTAAGTACCCTTAGTGTAGAGCAGAAGATCACAATCTGGAATTGTCAGGCTGTCTGCAGAGGTGTTGTCTTGCCCCAGCTGTTCAGATATGTCTCAGTGTTTTCCAAAGGTTTGTTGAGGATGTAAAAATTTAAATGTATAGATAGGAGTTTATTCTACTGCTGTGAAACTTGGAGTTCTAAGAAGTTACCAACATGCACTAGGGCTTTTAGATTTGTGTGCTTTACACATTTGTACACTCCTTAGCTATTTGTTCATAATTTCCTCATAGTTTAAAAAAAGGAAAACAGTTTTTAAACTCGGAAAGCAAGACTAAACAGGAATAATGGACAGTGATTGCATAGTTTTACCTAATCTATAAGTGTGCTTCACAACTAATAACTTTGAATACTAACTATACTTATTTTACTGGAACCAAATTTTTAGTGTAGGGTCCTCTAACATCTCTAGCATTTAGAACATACTCTTCATTCTGACTGTCCACATTTTACAAAACTTCAGATACAGTGCAGCTTTCCATTGTTAATCCAAGCAGGTTTTCATTCATTATAAAGCCACATGTTTGGTAACGTTCTGAAAAGTGTTTTTTGGAGCTGGGAGGATGAAGGGTATATTGTAAAGGCTAATTCAAGAAAACTGCTTTTCCTTCACTTGTCATAGCTTCATAAAAATACTGTAATTTGGACTGCTCTGTTCCTGTCATCCGAGGAGCATATGCTGGAGTAAAAATTTAAAACCTTAGTTTTACTTTTTGAATTGTGGTAACCCACATCTGAATGCAGGAAAAGCAGTAGTTTCATATTAATATTACACTGATTTTTACTGGAGTGTGTTTGGAAAGTCTTTCCTAGTGCAAGCTGGCTCACAGAACTTAGATGGTTTGTAACCCTTTGCTACGGTGTTGCAAATTATTGGCATGGTCAGAGCATTGGAGGATGCCTTTGATTTTTGAATATTCTCTTTCAATTCACTGTGTCAAAGGTCACAGAGACAGCATGGAGTTACAGCGGTTTAAAGAGGCAACAAGCAAAATTAAAGAAAGAAGTGCTGATATTGAGGTAGGCATGGAAGCCTTTGTGTAATGTGTTAAAGGGGGTGGTTGTTTTATTTTAAGCTGTAACTTCACAATCTGTTTTGAAAAAGCTATAGTCAAAGAATTTGCAAAATACAGCCTGGAAGGAATGTATAGCTGTTTTAAGATTAAAAGAGGGAAAAAAAAAAATCTAGTGAAAACTCATGCAACCTTAACTGCACATCAAGTGCTGTTGCTTCATAATATGATACTAATTAAATACTGAACAAGATCTCAGGTTATGAAAGCTGAGATGACTGCAACTGTAAATTAAGATAAAATTATGTATCTTGTAATTAGTGTCTAATGAAGCGTTTGACACAAATTTCAAGATCAGCATTTGAGAAGATTTCAGTGATTTACGTGGTATTTTATAGAGCAAGATGATAGTGTATGATTTTTAAAAGTGACAAAAATTGTTTATTATGCTTCCAAGAATAAAAGGCCTTTCTAATAAACCTGTAATAAAATTAAGGTATGTATAATTTCAATTCCCTTAGAAAGTAATAGAAATAACTACATGGAAAGTGATTAATCATAAGAAACATGTTATCTGAGTGCTATAGCATATATAAAAAAGCTAGTTTCCTCACTAGCTCGTAAGATAAGTTACTAAATACAAGTTACCGTTGGCAGTAACCCCTCATGCAGAGGAGAATCTGACTTGAGAATTGCATCATGACCATTTGTAATGTCAGCATTTTGCTGAGTTGCTCCTTCTGGACAGTCTGATTAGTAAAACGTGTGACTGGAAAACTTCTGGTTAGTGTGTATTTTTGCCATGGATTTTTTGGTAGTACTGTTTACAGTTTGCTTTGTTGTTGATTTTTTTTTAATAGGAACAACAGGAAGACTTCAAAAAAGCTATATTGGAGGGTATAGAGACAACCAGACTTCAAGTAAGTAAAGATATAATTTCAATTTATTAGAGACATTTCCACCAGCTAACAAATGTGTTATTTACAGTGAAGACCAGGAGCTCTTTTTTCCCTATTTCATTATCTGTAAGGAAACTCTGGTTGTGATTTAAAAAAAGAAAAACAAGAAAGTTGTGGAGTTGAGCCTTTGCACAAATGCAGTTTATCTCTCCTTGAAGTAGATCTCAAGTGCTGTGATTCTCACGTGTCATGTCATTTATGGCAGATGCCACAGGTGGACACTGAAATGCATACAGACCTAGTCCATCAGACACTTTCAGCATTTTCTGTTGCATCCTAATTAAGTATTTATGTTTAAGGATGTAAAAAAAAAAAGGTCTTTCTCCTATTTCTGTATACACACTTATGCATACATACATGCTTATGACACATATTTTGGACACACACAGACCTGTTTAGGGGGGTGTGTATATTCCTTAAGATGGCAGAGTGAAAAAGGTTGGTAACAATTTCCCAAATGTTATAAATCTTGTAATCAAAAGCAGTGCATAGTATTCCAAGTTATAGTTTTTTATTTTTCAAAATACTGAGGTTTTACAATTTATTCAGGTATCCATTGCAATTAATAGGCTCATTGTGAGGAATGTTCCATGCCAATCTACATGGAGTTATAGTTTGTGATGAACCTGCCTTTCTCCTTTTTTTGCAAAATAAATATTTTGTTGTCAAAAGCTCAGTAGATATTCAGAAAGTATGTAATTATTGCTAAGGAATAATACATCCATGAGGAGACTGCATTCATAAACTGTAGGTTTTTACGTGACAAGACTTAACTAGATTTTGTTCCTGTTTCCAGTGGGTTCAAACTGAACTTCAGTTTCTGCCAGAGCTACGTTCTTAAATGAGAATTGATAGTTACCAAAGGCATGTGACAGAATAGCTGAATTTGGTGCTTGTTAGAGATAAGGTACATTTCTGTAATTTTGTCCCGTTGTTACATTTGCTTTTAAAGAACTTTCAGTATGGGTCAGTAGTCTTAATGTGAACCTGCAAGTGTTAGAGCTGGTGGTTACTGTGAAGAGCGTTTTAATTGCATCACACCACTCAACTTTCACATTTTTGTGCAGCAAGGTATTTGAGGTACATTAGGAAGTTTGTTGGTGTTTTTTGGTTTGTTTTTTTAAAAAAGGCAGATTGTGTGCCAAGAGAGTAGTAGTTAAAAACAATGGTTATGCAGACTAATGATAACCTTGTGTTTTTTTATGTAGGGTCTTCAAACTGACAGTGGTCTAAGACAATCCAGCTCTTGTGGTGGGTTTGCTGACCCTCTGGCAGGCCATTCAGAACAATGTAAGTGTGGTGTCTTTGCAGGTGACCTGATTTTATTTCTAAATTGTGTGAATAATACATATAATCTTAGAAGATACAAAGGAAGCACAGAAAATTAAAGCATCTTGAAATATTTACATGATTAGTGCTACTTGAATTTGCTGTTGTGTCTCTTGAGCCATTCCAGCTTCATTCTGTTGCCTTGTGTTTGCCACAGATGGCTGGAATCACAAAAAGCTGAGTGATCTAGTCAGGGCTGTGCTGGAAGCTGGTAAAGATCCGATAGTTATGGATCAGGCTTTTTTATTGAGAGCCAGATTAAGTTGTCTGGTTGCTCATGCTGTTAGGTAATAGGTAAGTAACAGTGACACATGCTATTCTTTGTCCAGTTATGAATTTTTCTGTTTGTAGTATATAGCAAGAGTAGAAGAGCATCAAGTGAAGATCCTCAGCAAGTAGACTCCAAAGCAGCATTACTGACGGTTTGTATCCTCCTTTCTTCTTGTTAAGCAGGACTAGAACCTGAACAAGTAAAAGAGAGGAAACAGGTTGCGGACTGATTTGTGATTTGATTTGTGGACTCATTTATTCGAGGAGGCAACAGAAGACCTGTTTTGCCTGTGGGAAGAAGTTTTGCATGTCCTTTACTACATATTGTGCATGTTCTCACTGAAAACATGCTGCTTCCTTTTTGGGGAAAAAACCCACCATTTTTTGTTAAAGAAAATAATTATTTTTATAGTCAATAAACCAGTAGTGAGTGTATCCTTATCTAGTCTTTTAGGTGTAGTTACTGTTCATCAGTTGTATTGGAGTCTTTCCATTCAACTGCAGTTCGGTTCAGTATGGCCTAGTGAAATATTTCTGAAATACATGCTGTACTTAAAACACATTACTACCCCCACCTCCTGTTAAATATACTGTGTTTTCCTTACAAAACCTAAACCTTTTTTTTCCTCTTTTTTTTAAAGGATTGGTTACAAGGTAGACCTTCAAATAGCAGTCAAATGTAAGTAAGCTTTCTACTAATGGAGCTGTTTTATTATTCTATACTTTGTTTTTTCTTTTTGGTTGCTGTCTATAGTGGTACTCAGTTGTGCTTAATGAAAAACAAAGTTTAAGGTTGTTTTTTTGGGATTTTGTTGTTGTTGTTGTTGTTTTTCTGTTAAGTACTGAATGTGTTCACTGGAATGATTTGACAGGTTCTATTTAGATTAATGGGGTCACATGTCAGAGGGCCTAACATGCCCTTAAATGAAAATTACTGTGTTGACACTTGTTAAGGAGCCTGCTTCCTGGTAAAGGTCTTTACCCAGCCTTTCAAACTGTAGACCTTGTCTGAAATTGTGTAGTCATTGCTCTTGTTAACAATTATCCCCTGAGTTAACTGTTAAAGCCATTACCTTATTAATCAGATAACAGAAGGGTAAGCTGTTGTGAACAAGTTTTAATTAAAGCACCTCTGTGGGAATAGGCTCTTGTGATTCAAACTTTACATAATGCTGTACGTGACTTGATGTTATTTAAAATATAGCTCTAAAGGCATGAGATTACTTAACAGCCTTCCATTACTGTTTTGTAATTAAGAAACCTGTACTGCCCTTGAAAAATAGGATAAAAGCAGCACTGAGAGGTTAGCAAGGTGACCTAGGAGGATGTGTCAAAATCAGTAAATATAAAGTAAGTTTTTAAGAAGCAATGACTGTTGGTTTTGTGGCATTTCACAGGCCATCTGAAGAAGATGCATTGAATGGTAAGTTTGTTTCTGCTACAAACAAGCTGAGATCTTTTCATGTAAGCGAGTGTTTGGGTCTTGTACAAGAATGTATTTAACTACTGATAAATTGGAACATAACAGGCCCGTAAGAGTGTGGTTATTTATTTATTAAATTCACCGCTTACTGTTGGACAACTTAAATATTATTTTTTTCCCTTGAGGTTCTGGTACTTAATTTTCTGCACAGGAAATCTTTTTCAAGCTATAGTTACTTGGCAAGTGTTCTTTGCATGTGGTAGTTTAAATACACAATATAGATACTAAGCAGTATCTCCTTTTTTATTTTTTCATTTTTAAATAATTTGACCAATCTTTTTCAGGTATTGCTTCTCCTTTCAAGCCAATCATGGATATCAATTACTATTACTCAGGTCAGGCCCTCTTAGGAACTAATGTTCATATTCTTAATGAGACTTACTGGATCCTTTAATGACTGCTGTAATTTTTCTCTAGCTGTAGAAAGAAATAACTTAATGAGGTTATCACAGAGCATTCCATTCACTCCTGTGCCTCCGAGAGGTAAGAATTGTACTTCTTATTGCTGCTTCACTATGGTATTTTGAGGAAGAAAACAGAAGTAAACCCTGTAAAGTTTTCTTCTAACATAGAATGATCAAGCCAGATTTCAAACTTACAGCAATTGTGAAACTGAAGTTTTCGTGAACTAAAAGAAGTCTAGTGTCTATCTTCCAGCACTCAAAACTAGACATGAGTATGACACCTTTTCTAGGGCAACTTACTTGATTATGAAATCTAGATGTAATTATAGTTGTCCTCACAAATTTGTGGTAGAGTGATGACAGTATTGTACCAGCAGTTTGTATAACAAATTGTTCTGGAAGGATTCCTTTAAGTTGTCTTGACTTGCATAAAGTGTGAACAAATGTTTATTCAGTGCTCTTAATACTGTTTTAACAGTGTCATTGATTGTTCTAATTAGGAAGACAAAACTGCTGTGCTAATTTCCTGCTGTATGAAAGAGTCTGGAGCAGGGTCTTCCCATTGGGTGCTTTAATTTTTTTGGTTAATTCAGGCTGTTAGTAACAACTTAATATTGCAGCACGTTGAAATCTAAAGCTGTAGGTTTTACAGCACTTCTGATTTTAAACTTGGAAAATTAAATGCAATCATTGCTTTTTGTGTTGTAATATAGGGGAACCAGTCACTGTCTATCGCCTTGAAGAAAGTTCTCCTAGCATCCTGAACAACAGCATGTCTTCCTGGTCACAACTAGGACTCTGTGCTAAAATTGAGTTTTTAAGTAAAGAGGAGATGGGAGGAGGTTTGCGTCGAGCTCTGAAAGTAGTGTGCACGTGGTCAGAATATGATATCCTGAAATCAGGACACCTTTATATCATCAAGTCTTTTCTTCCTGAAGTTGTGAATACTTGGTCAAGCATTTATAAGGAGGACACAGTGTTACACTTGTGCTTGAGAGTAAGTTTTATCCTTGTCAATGAAACATAGGCATAGTATCTTAAACAGGACGCCCCCACACACCCCCTTCCACTAGTATATACTCACTAAAAAATAGTTAGTCTGGGGTTCTGTATGAGAACAGAGGTTCTGTGTTTTTGTCTGAACACAGGTTCTGTATTTTCTGGGTTAAAAACTGCTCCAGTATGGTTTACTTAATCACAGAGCTCAGGCTCTTAAAATGTAGACATAATTTAAGACAAAAGTAACTTGTTACACTGTCTTGGGAGGAAACAGACACTCACTGTTCCCACTGTGCCTTTTTGACTCCTTAATGTTCCTCTCACATAGTGCAGCTAATGAAACGTGGCTTTGAATTGTAGGAAATTCAACAGCAGAGGGCAGCACAGAAGCTCACCTTTGCTTTCAATCAAATGAAGCCTAAATCCATTCCATACTCTCCACGGTGAGTGTTTTTAAACTTCCATTATGTTGCATGCTTTTGGCACAGAAGAATGCCTACAAGGTTGTTAACAGATGGATCAGATGTATGAAGGTACCAATATGTGAAGATCTATCTCAGAACAGTGCTATGAACGTGCTAAGCAGAATTATCCTTGGCAATATTTTCTTTTGATACTTTTTGTGCAGGCTCTAGCCTAGTGTGATGATATAAATGACTTGGTGCAATAGTTTCAGATAACTTCAGTTATTAGTAAATCAAATAAAAATCTAGTAGTAATGACATTTTAACCTTTTTTTTTTTTTAAAAAAAAAAAAGATATTCATTAAGTATACTTTTTACTAGGTTCCTGGAAGTTTTCCTATTGTATTGCCACTCTGCTGGCCAGTGGTTTGCAGTTGAGGAGTGCATGACTGGAGAGTTTAGAAAATACAACAACAATAATGGTGATGAAATAATCCCAACTAACATGCTAGAGGAGGTTATGTTGGCCTTCAGTCATTGGACATATGAATATACCAGAGGAGAACTGTTGGTACTAGATCTGCAAGGTAATGTCCTTATTTTGCAGTTGGTATTGGGGCCAAGCTAGATGTTAGTTCTTCTTTTGTGACAGTGTTTTATTAAGAAATTCATATGCCTGTAATAACTAACAAGGATAATTTATTGCATCTTGGTGTAGTTGATCTGAATCTAAGGTGGTCTTATTTAATATGGCGTTAAATCTTACAACACCACATGGAATATAAATCTTTTTCTGATAATATGCACCATACGAAATCCAAATTTTTGGCATATTTCTGTAATGCCAGTGTGGTAAACTGTATTTATCCTGTTTCTGTGTCAGATTTTCTGGCTGTGAGAACTATATAGGAAACTTCTTTCTCACAGGTGAAAATTAAAGTTGGGAATTGCAGGCAGATGTAAAAACAGGTGGAAGAAATCTGAGAAGTACAAAGTACTTGTTCAAGAGCAATTTTTGTAAGGATATCACATGTATTTCTCTTTTTTTCTGCTTTTATTCTTGGAGAGGCTGAGAAGTTGTAGTTCAGGCTGCCAAGGCTTTTCAGTATCAATGCATTTATGTAATGTACCAAATTTAACGTTTTCTTCATATGCTGTCTGAAGGTGTTGGTGAAAATTTGACAGATCCCTCTGTGATAAAAGCTGGAGAAAAAAGGTAAGGTTAAAGAAGGGCTTAAAGAAAAGTATTCTAGAATTTTCACTGGAAAACACATGCAACTGATGTTCATGTGCATTTTTATTTCCAAGGTCACATGATATGGTGTTTGGTCCGGCCAATTTGGGAGAGGATGCAATAAAAAACTTCAGAGCAAAGCAG